CTAGACCTCAACCAAAAGTGAGGTCAACAGTGATGGAGAAGGAAATAAATGAGGAGGTAGGGGATTTAGTCTTGGGTATTTTATGTATAGATAAGGGGGTGGGGAACATAATAAATGTTAGCTCATATATTGTTGTTATATGTAAGATATAGATAAAACTATTTAATTACAAGAGAGGTGGTAGGTAAATAAAACGGTACTTAATTGGAGACTTCACAAATTCATTGGAGGAGAGACACAGGTCAAAAATACATATGTATTTTATCTTTTTAACCTGATTAATAGCAATTATCCACATGATAAAAACTTGGAAAAATAAAAATCATGGGGCCTTGTTCAATCAAAGTAATCTATTATGTGATTGTGAGTGCATAGTTCTCCTGAATAAGAGAAGAAGAAAGTTTATAGTTCGTAATTTGAATCATCCTTACGTTAGGTTAGATTGGTTTGGGTTTAAAACATTCTTAAGTAAGTTTAAGTGTGATTTGATGTTCTTTTTAAGTTTAATTAACTCTTAAGTTTGATCTATATTTGAGCTTGTTAGATTTAGCATGTGTTTAGGTTTGTTTACTTGTAAGTTAGATTTGATTTAGGTTAAGTTTAAATTACTTTAGGTGAGGTATGTCTTAAGTTAGATCCAAGTAAAGTCAATAACTTGACTTAAGTATAGCTTAGGTTACAAGTTAGGTTAATTATATTTAATGTTTAAAGTAGTTTAAGTGGGTTATAATTTAGGTGAGAATTAAGAAATTTTAATTTTATGTTAAATTCTTTTCAGCTAAGTCAAACCCACCAAGTAGCTTATGAGCAGAGCCAGACAAAACTTAATCTTGGATTTTTGAAGTTCCAAAGCAAACTTTCCACTAGACTCCTTACGGTAAAAAGTTAGATAGGGTCTAATGGAGCTCACTCAGAATTGCAAGGTTGATACTATGTCAAACATATCATGACTAACCAATCAACAAAGGGCATTATGGAAGATTTTTTAGCCTAAGAAGGAGAGACTACGTGCCAGATATGATGGAGTTGATAAAAAGTGAGCTCAATATGCATATGTTAATGATAAAATATTTTTAGATAGGCTAGTCAAGCCATCATGCCCTCAAACTGTCGATTCTTTTGAAAATCATTGGATTACCATGTGTTGATGAAAACCATTTAATTCAAAGTATTTTAGTAGGTCGATTGTGGATAAAGCAAATATAAATGTTAAGATAATGAATAATGAGTCATTATGAATATATAAATATATTATGTGTGCAAGTATATATTTTGATGCTTGAACGCAATAATTATCAATTTGCATATAAAGCTTTCTTTATTGCATAATGAGCATCATCAAATTATTACATATTTAAAAATATTTTATTTTATTTATTATTATTTAGTATTTAATATTAATTTTGTCTCCCTTCCATTGATCAAATTTATGTCTTATGTTTTGTCTCTTATAGTTTAATAAATAGGTTTTGCCTATTAAGTTTGAGTCTAACAAACACACATATATTATTTAATAATTTTCAAATTCTTAGCTATCTTTTATTTAGATGAGAAAATTTAGATCCACGCTTCAAATATATCATTGGAAAGTCATTAAGAGTATACATTATATAGTTGCTTTAATAGGGATTGTTTCCTAAATGACATGTTATGATATTTTATTTCTATTTTAGAAGATAAATTAGTAGGTATAATTAAATACTTTGATTATTTTATTGGTGGATAAATATTATTGAATGCATGTTTGTATATCTTAAAAATAACTTCGTTATTTTCAACTCACCTCATTTTCTTAGATTTTTGTAAAATTTTCATATAGATCCATTAGTCCCAATCATTACTTAAGCCAAGCATAGTATTTGAGTTGGTCAAGAAGATTATTGGAGCTATGGAAACATTACTACAATGGTTTTTGATACGCTGCCAACAAGTTTTTATCATATGACACGAATATTGAGGCATGACATGAATCTCGATGCAACCTTTTGAGCTAGAAACATTCAAACTTCAATTAAAAGTCATCTAGAGTTCATATTTCAACAAACTTATAGTTAAACTGACCGACTTGATGAAACAGACCTAATGATATTAAGTTTAGTCCAATCCGAGTCAAATTAAGCCCAGATCAAGAGATTAAATCATTCTTGGAAGATTTTCGGATACATTTGAAAAATCAAACGAATGTCGAATTCAGCGAATTCATAGTCGAATCGAGCGTCTTGATAAGATGAATTCAACGAGCACAAGATTGTTCAATTTCAACAACATTAATACACCCACATGTCCATTAAACATCATCCGATCGAGGGAAGCTCTCCGGATCGTCCGATCAAAATTGTTCATATTCCTGCATGAATTGCACCCAGAACACTATAAATAAAGCCCCACCTAAGGAGGCTTGAGAGAGAACTTGAGGCATTGAGGAGTTCAAGTCCAGCATCATCTCTATCATCGTCGATCGTCGTCGACCACCACCAACCGTCATTAACCACCCCCGACCTCCGTCGACCTCTGCCGGCCGCCATCGACCACCGCTGACCTTTGTCGACCACCGCCAACCACCATTGACTTGACACCGTCCGGCGACGTTGTAATCTGAAAATCTAGTAACTCTTTCCCGTCTGTGGGACAATGGGTCACTGTAATCATCAATCTATACTAGATTATTATAATTCAAACTCCGTGGTTTTTTACCTTTACGGGTTTTCCACGTAAAGGCATTTGTGTCATCACTGGTTGTTTAATAACTAGGTCAGACTCCGTGGTTTTTTTTCCTTTACGGGTTGTCCACGTAAAGGCATTTGTGTCATCACTGGTTGTTTTCCTTTCATCTGAGTGCGCGTTGAATTCTCATGCAACGCTAAGACGATAATCCATCACTCTATGTCGCTAATTTTCCAGGACGTATCAGTTTGACGCCGTCTGTGGGAAAGTTTCAATCTCACAACTAAAGTACTTACACGGTCTACTACATGGCAACCAAACACAATGTTCGTGATAATGGAGCACTCGTAACAACGGAGCATCCCGCTCCAACACACATCGTTTTAGGGAGCAGTCACGAAGCCAAGGGCGACATGCTTCTTCATCTTTCTGCCCTGGAAGACGATATTCTGCCAACGAAGGTGTTTTGAGTCCTTCAATAAAAGATTGAATGCGTAGAATGGAGGAGTCTCAATTAGAGATCCTACAGCGCCTATGCGGGGCTCAACAGTCGCTGCCTACACTGTGGATGAAATTCTTTTACCATTAACTTCACGACGTAGGAGAAACAAACCGCTCTGAGGAACTCGTACCGGCCCCCCTCCTCAAGAAAGAACACTTCCCCTGTTAGGTCGTGATGCTGAACTCCTAGATACCGCAAGTTCCACTCATCCATCTCGTGCAGCTCATTCGACATCGCCACATCTTCTTGACATTCTAGATGATGTCATTCGTAATGAACTACAACCCCTCGTCCGGGAAGAGTTCCCCTAGAGAAAAAGAATCGCTTCTACACTCATCGTAACATCCATGAATCATCTCTCTTAGCAGATGTGGTCCTTCAACACCCCATCCCAATAGGATTTAAGCTTCTGAACATCGACATGTATGAAGGGATAATAGACTCCTACGAACATATTGATCATTATCGAACTATCATGCACATTCAGTGTGCCTCTTATGCACTTATGTGTCAAGTTTTACCTGTTAGTCTTAAAGGACAAGTTTGAATTCGGTTCTACTTTCTGTCAGGGGGTAGTGTAAACACCTTTCACGAGCTTGCCCGACTGTTTGTGGAACAGTTCGTAGCAAACCGAATGATCATAAAGGATTCATCTCATCTCTCAGAAAATTTTCAAATCGAAGGAGAATCACTAAAGGATTACTTCCACAGGTATTTTTTTTTACTGAAGCCCGACAAATTCTGGGAGTAGATCTGGAGTTACTAAGAGGAGTCATCCTTGGGGGACTCCGCCTAGGACCCTTCTACTCATCATTAATACGGGAGAAGTTCGTTCTTATGTTGACCTTATTCACCGTGTTGAGGCACAAATCTCTGCATATGAGGTCATCATTGCTCACAAGGAACAATTTGAGCGATTGGGGGGCAAGCACAAGAATAACGCTGCGGATACCAGACCACAGGGAATTGTGAGCAACGATCAGAAAAAGAACACACATCACTCAACACGTCACATGTTAACATCTTAATGACAATCAAGGATGAAAAGACTCTCAAGTGGCCAAAGCCGTTAAGAAATACAGATGGTGGAGATCTTTCTCAATATTGTCATTTCCACCGAGCAAAAAGACATTCAGCAGAAATATGTTTTCAATTAAATGAAGAAATTGAACGTCTAATACGCTAAGGACACCTGGGTCGCTACTTACAAGAACAATGTCAGGGGAACTAGAAGAGAATCGTTGGAGTTACCGAATGAGAAGTATAACTCTAACTCATCTTATCTGAGTAAAAGAATGACGTATAAACTCTTCATTTTATTTTAACAAAATTTTCATGTTGCTTTAAAATGTCATTTCATTGAAATTTTCTTATTTTCTCATGAAAGATTTTTGTGTAGAAAACCCCCTTAAGGATGAGAAGCTACCATGCCCCTAAAAGTCAAGCCTAAGAGGCAAGACTTGATGGGAAGATACAATACTCCTAAAAATCAAGCCCAAGCGGCAAGACTCAATGAGAAGCTACCATACCCCTGGAAGACGAGCCCAAGAGGCAAGTCTCGATGGGAAGCTAGTAGTGGACATGGTCCTCATTAGAAAGACTACATGAGAGCAAGTGGTTTAGAGGGTCTCCACTCAAAGACCTCAGAAGGCATAGGTACATCAAAGACCTCAGAAAGCTACAAGCCTTAGAAGACATAGGTACATTCAAAACAAAAAAAATACATTGTTATCATCTACAATTGTCACATCAGATGATTAAAAATGCTACAAATACCAACATATATATATATATATATATATACAATGGCTACAACAAATCCGTTCATCTTTAATTAGAGTCGACACCGCCTTCCTAAAATTACAGTACTTCTGATGATCCTTAAGGGGTCTCCAAATATCGTCACCACATAAGCATGAAAATCCCCCCCTCATGGCGAGACGAGAAAACTACTTCATCACCTTCAGAACATGCAAGAGCAGCACGAAAATCTCCTATGGAATACGCGACGTTCCGCCACAACGTGTCGTGTCGCCGTGACGCCCCACCGCAACGCGTCACCACGACGCCCCACCGCAACATTTTACCACAACACTTCGCCGTAACTCTTCTCTGCATCTTTTCACGACAACCCTTCTTTGCAACACTTCGCTGCAACGTTTCGCCGCAACACGAAAAAAATTATCGTTGTTTGTCTGCTACGCAGGACGGAGACGACTTTCTTCTTTTATGAAATCTCAAATCACCTGCTAGGCAGGGATGATGACTCCATTTTTTTCCTCTCCTTGGTCTATTTATAGGCTAAAAAACTCCCTATATTTATGATAAAATTAATTAGAGTCATTAAAAAAAACGGTACTTTATTAAAAAAAAACTGCTCTTCATAAAAAAAAAAAAACTATTTTTCATTAAAAAAAAAACCGCTTTTCGCTTTTCATTAAAACAAAAAACAAGTGCCATACAAAAAAAAAACTTTTCATATTCCAAAATTTAATTAAAAAGAGGGAGAGAAAAAAAAAAAGCTTTTGTTCCCGCATAAAATTCCTAAATTTTTAGGTGGCTCACCTTCCCATGAGCACGGTTCAGATTTTTTAGCTTCAGCCCAGCCCGTCCGGGCCCATCTCTCCTACTTTGGGCTCACGTGCTAGGACCTGCACCTCATTAACTTCAGGCAGGCGGCCCCCCCAATTCTTTTTGCCACTACCTTAAAACTCTTTTTTTTTGCCAATTATTCAAAAAGTTTTTCATGTAAACTACACATACAAACTAAATATACCCACAAAAAAATAATAAAAAATGACAAATAATACAATAAACAAATCATACAATCCCACACATTTTATACACATCAATTACACAAATGAATATAAATGAATATAGTTTGAATAAATATCAAATTATTAATTGGGTGTACTAGTCAACCTACAAAGGTCATCTACACAAGACTTTTTATGAGCACAATTACATGCATACCATCAAAATCAACCTTAATTTACAAACTTACAACCCAACAAAAAAAACAAAGCAGAAAAAACAACAGGCATGTTGTGAAGGAACTGTCAGGAAAGCCATACAAAATATATGATGAATGAAAACATCTAATTTAAAGGACTTTTACATCCATAACGCAGAATTCTGATCCGTTTAGATAACTATTGTAAAAGTAAAGTAAGAACATAGTTGATATGTATGTAAGAGTCCCTTATTTAAATGAAAAACCATTTGTCTTCCATAAGCTCCCAAGCAGGCGTACACAATGGTCAGCGCATGAAGACCCAAAGAAGTTTCATGAATGTCCACCATTGATATAATAAACAGAAAAAAAAATTTGGTTCTAAAATGACTCCTGCAAGAAACCAAATGTGATGTTTGCAGCTCAATGCCACCAAATCACTCTATTCTTTGATCCATAAATTGAAATTTATTCAAATCTTTATGAGACTGAAAAAAAAAAAAAATTTGTGGCAATTCAAAAGCTCAAAAAACAATGAAAAATCGCATATAAACATCAATATCTGTAATCTAGAAGCAGTAAAGAGGTTCAAAGAAACGCACCATTGTAGCAAGCAAATTTAAAAGAAGTACAATACCATGTTCTCAATACTCAAGCTGATATATAGATAAAATGTGGTTCCCTTCAATGATCTGGGAATGAGTCTTATTATGTTGTAATATATCCAGACTGATCCCTTCAACAGTTTTGAAAAACATTGCTGAGAGAAAAATGGTATTAAAAAGCCAAGCCTTAATCCAAGCCAACAAATTAAAACTGATCGCATAATCCCAACAGATTGAGACTGATAAAATCTTATTAAAGGGCAGCTGATGTGAGAAATGCACGAATGCGTTGTAATAGCTCAGCCTTCACAGAGTCAGGTACTGTAGCTGCAACACACCATAAGGACAATGAATGACCAGTTCATTCGGAATACAAGAGAATAAGGAAAATTAAAAAAATAAAAAAAAAACCTTGATTACAAATAAGATTCTTGATTTCTGCTTGAAGTAGAAATCATGCTTTAAAGTACAATGAAATTTATTAAATTTTAGCATCTGGTTGGTGTAATTATAATCAAACTTGGTGGACAAATAGCTCAAAAATTCCTTAAAGGTGGTACTTCATTATCACCTGTAATATGAGTCAACAAAGTTATCATTCTCTAAAGCATAATTTTCATCTACAAGTAATTAAATGAGCCCTAACATGAGAACAAAAATATTACAGCCTATTTGTCCATCATTTATAATTTTGGATAAGCAAGCCACCTTAGCTTGTTAGTTGAGAGCTTAGTCTTTCAAACAAGAGGTCCTAAGTTTGTGGTCTTGCATATACATGCAGCGTGCGTGCATTTGCAATTAAATCCGATCATTTATAATTTTGGATGAGGAATTGGTATCGCTATAAAGGCTTTCATATTTGCAACTAGGAAATTAAATATAATTCTATTAATAAGTTTATTCCCCGGACCAAAAAAATAATGAATCTATAGTCTATACGTGATACTCCAAGAACAAATCAGTGATGAATAGACAATAACACGAAAAAACCTATCTATATTATTTGGAAACCATGCGTGTGTGCGTGTGTATTAATTGCACATATAGTAAACATGATATGCATGCCGTGTAATTAATATAATAATTAATTCATTTCAACTACTAATAAAATAAAAAAAATGTGTGAGCTTATTATGTGCCTTGAAATCAACTGTTAGGAAGGTGGGATATCAAGAAGCACAAGGCTAAGCATAAAAGCACAACAAGTCTTGCTGAGTTATCGAGAAGTACCAACCCCACCAAAAGAACCATCGAACCAAATCAGTGATTGATTCCACCACACTTGCAACTGTATTTCAAATACAAACGACAATAGAACCGTGTATACATGGAGATTTGGTATAACGAACAAAGGACGCGTAACTGTCATCAGGGTTTCTTTTGAGATTTAAGGTTTATTGATTTACATATCTATTTGGTTAATGCGTGCCGGTCACTCAACCATTGTGTTTGGTATGGGTACCCCAATTATCTTTTTTTAAATCGAATAATTGAATGGCCTGTCCAATATGTATCAGGCTCCTATATACATCAAAATATTGCATATCTTGTTATCGTGTATTGTTGTGGCAACAAAAGTACAAACAATTAATAAATCCATCTAAGCCAAAGGTATGGGCAAATACCTTGGTGATTATTAATTATAGACGTTGCTTTGCTATGACAATAAAATTTTTGTATAAAAGCTTTCTAGTGTAACATTTGATGAAAAAGAATCCCTTATATGTTCGATAAGAAATCCACAAAATTATTTCTTTAAGAAAAAATGTGAGCATTCAAAAAGGGTGAGATTTTAGCTCAAATATTTAAGATTGCTCAAATATTGAATAAGTTTTTTACTCAAACTGAGCTCGAAATGAGTTAAAATGAGTTGAGACATTAGCCAAATTTCAACCTAGGCCTGGATTGAATAAAGCCAACCTGAGTTAGTTAAACATTAATATGTATATTTTTTAAGATTTTAGATATGCAGATATATATTTGTTCATACGAATACAGTATTATAAATATACATATATGCATTCTAAATATATTCTTCTGAGAGAAAAAATAAATAAATGATTCTGAATCAGCTCAATTCAAATTTGAATCAGCTCAAAATCTGGCTGATTAGAGTTGGGTCAACTCAAAATCAAATCAGTTCGATCAAAGAAATGATTTTGACATCGCTTATATATGTTTCAGCCGATTTCAAGCCAAGACTGAATTAACTCAAAATCAAATCAATTTCCTCTAATACAGCACAAGTAGTTAATTTAAATTAGTTCCTTAATTATCACCTTATTTTTTCTATCCTTTGAAATCAGCTCTACACCTACTGGGGATTTTTGGTTGATCAAAATTCAATCAATTAAAGGCATGCTAAAATGGGTTTATAAATCAAGCCAACCTGGGCGTGACACGAGATCAAACAATAAGTGGGACCAATTCAGCAACATCGCATGGAATCGGAGGGGAAACAGGAATGAGAAAGAGAGTGATAAAAAATAATCAAGTAAATTAAATTATAATTAGATAGTTGCGCACAATTCTCACTGTTTAAAAAAATAAAAGCTGAGGCTGTAATAACTGATAAATAAATAAAATTCAAAATGTTATTATTATTATAAATTTCAATCAATGCAATCGTTTCTATAGTTTCGTTCAATTTCGTTTTAGGGAGAATTGTACAAATTCGAAGCGAAGAAGGAGAAGAAGAAGAAGCAGTGGCAGAAGAAGAAGAGGAAGGAAGAGGAAACTTGCCAGCGAGGAATGAAGCCAATGGAGGAGACTTCGTCGTCCAAACAGAGGCAACTAAACAGCTTCTATGATCTCCGAGTGGAGAAGACCAACCCTAGCCAAAGAAAAGAGCGGCTAGTGCATAGGTGCAATGTTGTTCTGTGTCGAGGCTTCAAGGTGAGCCATGCAAAGAAGACAGAAAATAGAAGTGTCAAGCAACTCGTGGCTCTAATGCATAGAAAGAGGAGAGCCTGTGCCCTGACCAATCGTAGGAAGAAGCGATGAGCGACTCACGGCTTTGGTGTAAAGGAGGTGAAAAAGGGAGTGGCTTTGTGTGGGATAAACCAAGCCGAACTAAGGGAGAAGGAGAAGAGAAAGGAAAGAATAGAGGAAGAAGCATCAAAGCCGAAGGTGTCAAAGCATTGGAACAGAAGTATCGAGCGGCTCATACATCGATCATGAGCTGATGTGCGGGTAAGGTCTAAACCAAGGCAAAAGATAAAGATTTGTTTTATTTTATAAATAGTTTAGTTTAATTTTTGTATTAAATTGAATTTATATAAAAATGCTAATGCATTTTTTAAGCATATGAAAATAAAAAAATAATAAAACGAAAAGAAATTTAAATCTATGAACTAATGTTACTTTTAATGAATTTAATGTGAATTAAGATAATAACATTAATTATTATTATATGATACATAAAAGGTAAAATAGAGGTAAATTTTCTTATAATAATAAGATTAATAGATAATAAAGTAATAATAATTTTATATACATTTGACTATGGGTTTTTATTAGAGATAGGTGAAGAAAACAATTGTCAAGAGGATCGTCGGTAATTGAAGTGAGTACTCGTACTTTTAAGCTATTATAATTTTTTATTTCTTCCCAATCCTTTTTCATTAGTAGTTTATTAGTACTTGTACAAGCTTTATTCAGATTGATATGCTTTTTCATGTGTCACATTGTCTTGACAATGTGACAAGTACAAGCTATGATAGTTTTTTTTTCTTCTTAATCATTTTTTATTAGTAGTTTATTGTTACTAATACAAACTTTATTTTGATTGATATACTATTTTCTTTGTAGGCATATTGTCATGAAAGTCATATGCTTGTAGAAATTTACTATCATGTATTAGTTAATGATACATACATACATACATATATTTTTTTTTATAAACACCCAAGGGCTAATTTTATTGAAATTGAAAAGATACATAGAGGTTGTATGAGAAGACCCAAAAAAAGGTGTCTTACCCATACGATAGTGTCTTATCCATACAATACATCAGACACTAGCATCCTAAAATGATGAAACATAATAAAACTTGCAAGAAATAAGTTGCTAGGCACGAGCCAGCACTTGCAGTAAATAAACTGCTAGGCACGAACTAGTTTGGTCTTGCCTCTGCCTCTGGTTCTAGAAGCGGAGACAACTAACAAATTGTTGAGTATCGTTCCATTACCCGAAGTTACTAGAGTATCATCCAATAAGTTCCCAAGTTGGGGTGTGCCTCCATTCTTCTTTTTCTTTCTAGATGTGTATACCTGTCATTCCTCATCCGAGGATTGGCTCATCTGATCAGTGTGGTCAACAGATTATTGGGCATGTAGGAAAGAATGAGCCCCCAACTCCTGACTAGCAATAACAATATTCTGATTCTGAAGAGATGTTAAGCATGTCTCTTCATTATGGAATGCACTCAAGAGAGGAGGAGGGATAGGTATGAGATGGGGCAGATCCAGAAGCGTTTTTAGGAGGAGGAATAGGTATGAGATGGGGCAGATCCAGAAGCGTTTTTATCGAAAGAACAGAGACAGTATTGTCTCTGGTAGTGGGAGGGGGAGGTGGCATCGTGTCATATCGTGTCAATTGGTGTTTCAATAATCTGTGGAATGCACTCGTGAGCTGAGGAAGGACAGGTATGAGGTGGGGCAGATCCATAAGCGTTTTTACTTGAAGGTTTTAACTTCGGATGCAACTGATAACATTGAGAAAGAGAATGTCCAAACATACGGCAGTGGATCTGTTCAAGTTTTGTTTGCTGTCAAAATCTCTGACATTGTGTGTCAATTCATATTTCTCCCGGAAAAGATAAAGTAATATCCCTTTCTATCAAAATTCTGGCTTCTGAAGGCCGAGTCAGACTCACTGTAGGCTTGTCAGCTTTGAGGGGTTTACCGTATACCATCGTTAGTCAAATTCACTATAGGCGTTTCAGCTTTGAGGGTTTTATCGTATACCATCGTTAAAGCGAAGAGAAGCTCTTGATCAAAAGCAAAAAGAAGCTCTTGATCAAAAAGGTGGATCTTCAAACCTGGGAAGCACAGCCAAACAGGAGTGGTAGGAGGTTCAGTACGAGGGTCAAAATCCACCGTCCATTTTAAAACCTTCATCACCTGGTTTTCTATTCAAATCTGGTTTTCTATTCAAAGAACTCTTCTCGCAAATAAATGGGTGTAGTATTCGTCATTTGATAATTGAATAAGAATGTGGCGACCATCCAATTTACCGATCTTCCAACCCCCTTTCAGCTTTATTTGCTCAAAGTTCTTTCGAATTAGCTCAAGTTTAGGGTTGTACGCACAGCTAGGGTGGAGATCTCTGCCTCAATGAGAAAGATTGCAGGTTCACTTTTTTACGGGAGTTTTTACGGTAAGTTTTTTTGAGAAATCCGTTTTCAATGCCAATAGCAAAATTGTCGTGGTATCATTGCAGAAATCATACAAAGAATAACATTATTCTCGACATGATATATCCATAATTAGCATATTAGAAAGAGGGGTGGAGACGGGATTATCACTGGCAAGGGCTAATTAGCGGCAAGGTAAGAGGGGTGGAGACGGGATTATCACTGGCAAGGGCGGCGGCGTAGGAACGTCCTGAAGTCATTTTTTCAGCAAGCTGTCGATCGGCACAGACTCTTCTCTGCCGCAATCGACGACGCCAACGCGAGATGTCGGCTTCTGTGAGGAAGAAGCGATGCGATCTGTCGGTTTCAAACAGAGGCGACGAGATGCTATCCGTCCGCTTCGAAAGAGACGACAAGATGCGATCTGTCAGCTTCGAACAGAGACGACGAGACACAGCAGCAGTCGACTTCGAAGCCGCGAGTCGACGATGACGGAGAGACGACGCCGGAGTAATGATCTTCGATAAGGGTTGCTAGGGTTCGACATGAGTTGAAACCCTAGCAGAGCCGAGCGTGGTAGACGACATCAGATAAATATGTATGTATGTATGTATGTAGGCATATATATATATATATTTATTAAATTGAATAAGATGAGCAGATGAATAATATGGGCTATATATATTACTTGTATATGTATGTTTGACTGTGATGAAGTTTATGATACTATCAGGGAAACACTAAAGTAATGTGCACGTAAATGAAAAATGATATTGATATTGAAATAACTTAGATGGTCAAATTTTTATACAGTGCTCCTATGACGGTTGTACGTATATAAAATAATATAGACATATTATTGATATAATAAACATATTGAATGTTACGAAATGTCGTAAGTGATCATAATCATAAATTATTAAATATTTTATACTGATTTATTAAAAGTTTAACTAACATACATATTATTTTCTTTTCATTGTAAAACTATAGTTTATGAGTATCAGTAATCACTGGTTTTAATTAGTTTATTGTTGTCTTAAACTAATATTTCATATTTAATTATTTGATTAAAAGATGAACAATAGAAAACAACATTTATAAAAGATACGAGCAACCTAACCTTAGGCAAATTTATAACTGCTTTAATTTAATTTTTTTATGTAATAACCATTTCATTTTCTTTTTGGATTATTAATTGATAGTGATAAAAAATCAAAAATATAAATTTTAATTAATACTATCCGACTGTCTTTATCCGCCTTAATTACTTCCAAATTCCAAATCATAGAGGCGCTGGAACATCAAACAGACAAAACTAATAAATTATTGGGGCATTTACATACAAACCACACAATTCTAATATTTGCATACCTAACACCTAAACTTTCATATTTACACATCAAAATTATCACTATTACTAACTATTTTAAAAGTGAAATATACCATTTCATGCATAGGTTTATCTCACCAAAGTGTTAATATAAAACTTTAGGTATTAGGTATGGAAGTGCATAAGAATTGTGGGGTAGGTATGTAAAATTCCCAAAATTTCTCCATAAGCTAGCAATACGGAGTCATTGACAAACTTCTCAATCCAGAACTATGATGATTATAGAAAACAAAATAATAGGAAACAAAAAAGCATGAACGATAAAGATCCTCTATACTTACATGGGAATTGGAGAGTGTAATTACCCCTATCTTAGCCCTTCAGGCCATTTTGGACGGATGAGATTATTCTAATCCATGTTTCTCATCATCCAAAGTGAAATGAATTGCTAAGATGAGAATAACAGCACCATCCAATAACAATATTAATATATGAGAATTTGGATCCACAAAAAATCATAGAGAACTCAGCAAAACATGCAAGTGCATATTCTGTTAAGAAAAAAGATTGTAAACAACATTATAGTTCAAGAAAAGTGTCAAAATAATCCTGACCTTTTGCATGGGGTCATTTTAGTCCCAGATTCCATAAAAATGCCAAATTAGTCCCTAAACTATTTAAATTGGGGCTGAAATATTCTTTCATGGAGATTATTTTAGTTCATGTTGAAACATTAGGGAACTATTTTGGCACTTTACTCAGTAAGTTCAAATAGCATCAAAGATCTATTTCCAAACAGACGGTAAAATGGTAGAATAAGAGAATGTTAATATAGCCAGAAATTAAAACGAGTAAGACAACACCTACTAATTTGCTAAACACTAGAAAGGGAATTGTTAAGGGGTCGTTTGGGATCACTTCTATTTTTCATTTTCATTTTTTGTTTGTATTTATTTTGTATATGTTTTTTACTTAAAAAACATGTTTAGCATGATATACCATGTTTAATTACTATTAAAAATACATAATAACTTTTAGATGTTTTGAGTATTTTTAAAAATGAAATAATTTATTTTTTAAAATAAAAAAAAGAAAAACATTGAAAAAATGCAGTAAACAAACATGTTTTTAAAATAAAAGAAAAAAAAACAAAAAATAAATGTAAAACAAGCCCTAAATGAAAGACCGTGCAAACCAGTATTGAAAAAGATGAGAAAAAAAGGATCTAGATGCTAGTTAAATATAATCTACCTCTTCCTTTTGGTGTGATAACATGTATAAGATCATCGACAGTAACATTATTTCTTCCTTTCTTTCTAGCATACGACCTAGCAAGCAAAAATAGATTAGCGTGAGTTTATGGCACAATCATACAAAGAATAACATTATTCTCGACATGATATATCCAACTAAAAAGTGCAAAACCAGGAAGTTCAAATGGTGGGTCATGTAGCAAAAAGTAAATATAAATAAATAAATAAATAGATGACAAAATTCAAGGGTCACAAGTTAGGTATAGAAACGAGAGAAGAAAACACAGTTGTTTGAGCGTAAAATAAGACTATATTATTAAACATATAGAAAGAAAACCACAATTAAATCTGTGCATAAATATCTCTACACATTCAGGGCACTTCAATTCAACCAAGTATTTAAAAAATGTTAGAAATTTTGTTATCAGAATAAGTTTCATGGAGAACAGTTTAATTGATTTTTAAATTATTTTATATAAAAACAATTTTTGTGAACTCAAATAGATAAATCAATGGATTAAGCATACATTTGAAGGCGATATACGGTCACTCGTGTGAACTTATCACCTGAAATACTTGTCGGCTATGAACTCAACATAAATAAAATAATAAGATATTTAAAGTATATACAATGGTGCAAATAAATTATAACTGAAAAGATAAAAACATTCCTCAAATTAAAAAAAAAATTATATTATTTTTTCACAAAGTGCAAATATTTTTATACAAAATTCAAATTTATAAACATTTGCATACGATTCATTTTAGTTATTTGAAACACACGATTTATTCATTATTATCATAATATTATTTGCTCAATCATACAATTTAATGCTTTCTTTCCCCGAGATAGAAAACTATTAAACTATAAAGCATATTATATATATTTCAATCGATATAATATAGTTTAGGAAGTAAAATTAAGCTCTATAACAACCATGTCTAAAGCTCTTAATAAAATGGTCATAGAAAAGTTAAACATACATACATTGTCTAAGGTAAAATTTCTTATTCACTGGTAATAAATAAAATTATCATAATTTTAATTTACTATATTAACCAAATAGGAGCCTTAGAATGGTCCTAAGCATAGCGAAGTCTGCAATGGCCCTTTTAAGCCCAACCTGTCTAATGAGCAGCATATATGAGGAGTGGAGCCTACTGGTACTCTCAGCCACTTGAAATGAAACCAACTAAAACTTGAATTTTTACTGATTTTAAAATTTGTTCTAACTTTACTGGAACTTGTAATAAAAATTTATGTGATGTCTTCCCTTCACATTTCCTCCTTCATTAACTGGCAGTTATAGTTCTTAACGACCATCATACATCATGCCCAACATAAATTATTTCAGTAGCCTTTTTTAGAAGATGCCACCAGCAGCCTGAATGAATCCAATCACTTCTTCTTCGCTTACTATTCATAGTGTACCAAAAGTGGTTCACAATTAATAAATCGAACATGACACTTTATAAATAGCTATGGACATTGAGAAATATAACAATTTGTCTCCTATTATGACTATTAAATATGTTTTTAATACCCCTAAGAAAAAATCATTACCAAATACACCAACACAATGTCAAGTGTGCCTGAATTTGATCCTATTGAAGAAACTATAGTCCATAATATTCTTTTGAGAATGTATTAGATGCATAAAATGGTACTTTATATTTGATGTTGTTGAGTCCTAATTTATAATTACATTAGCCCATGTTTATGAACTAAAATCTGTACTTGAACAAGACTCAAAATTTTAGTCTAAAATTGACATTGAGCATGCGATTATATCTAAATTAGAATTTGGCATTAAGCATAAGTTTATGGCTAAACCTAATCATTTGATAGAGATAAAATATATTTATGAATATAAAATTGAATAAATCATGCCTGCTATATGGTTAAAGAATCGATTGAAGGTCTTCATAGACATCTGTAGTATCTAACAAACTTATCACTAGTCAATAAATTAAATTGAGATCGGCTATATTTTTGGTTCTTGATTTCTTGATACATATTGATAAAAATAATTTTATTAGGAAAGTCAAGTTGCATCAAAATTTCGAAAAAGGCTTTAATAATGATTATTCTAATAAAATCATAAAATTTTAAATTTTAACTATCTGATCATGATAAAAAAGTGTGTAATTTATTCCAAATGATATTTAAGCATTTGGGTAAATTTTATACAGAAAGGTTATTCCGTCCATAAAGAATGATCATATTTGCATGGCTTGTATGTTCAAAGAACTTTATCAACCCTTCCTATTGAAATTAATTATTGTGAATTTATTTGTAGCCATTAAAACACATTATTACTTTAATAATTTCATTATTCGCCTCATCTTATATTGGTTATTTGCAAGAGAATATTATCAACAAATTAATTTTTAGTTATGAATAATTATAAACATATTGTTGATGTTAATGGTTCACCTAATTCCTAAAACTTTCCGGCAAAAAAAATATATCTGTTATAAAAATAGGGTGATTTAAAATAATGCAATGCACTGCTGAATGTTAGCATTACTCCACTCTTCAATGTATTTGATTTGGCCTTATTTCATGACCCACTTTCAATACCTTATAGATTATTCTTACTTTTAATCTCCATCCTGGAAATTAACATCCAACAATTTACAAGTCAGTCTTATAAAGCTTGTTCCAAATACTATCCTAGAGGATGAATTTGTATCCACTATTAATGGACTTTAAAGGGATCTTAAGCCTACTTTGGCATAGATAGCATATGATGATTTATCGACTACACTATAGGAAATTTAACAATTCTAATCAATTTGCTAGATATTTTTCAAATAATAAATTCATTCTAGCCGACCATTTCAAGTTGGATAGATTAGGTCGAGATATTAAAATATATGCTAATAGAAAACACAAGTCTTAAATTTGCAGAGCAAATTAGCTAAATGAACACTATTTTCATTTTAGTTAATTGTTTTGCAATTTTTAGTATTATTTTAATCTTTAGTCATTTTGTGTAAAATAGCATGCTTCAATTTATAATATGGATGACTTGACTTACTTCAATTAGATGAGTGTCTTTGTTATTATTCTTTACAAGGCCACAACCTGTGAACCCCTATAGGTGGCTTCAAGGTTGCCTGTATCTTATTTGCTCAGGCTCCCTATGTGAGATTCCAATGCCGCTTATGTCAAATGAAATATGTTCGCATTAACTTCATAACGGTTTTTACAAAGAATAATATGAAATTACCCAATATTGAGAACATATGACTATAATGATTATGGATTTTTTGAAACTATAAAATAGAAACCTTAGGCTTATACTAAAAAGATTTTGCTTAATAAGACTTTCATTTATCTTCTAACCTTTGTATTTGACCGAAGTTGAATTCTTGAAGTGTGGTGCAAGTGCCCGACTACTAATTTTTTAGGGAAGTCATTTTCTAGTACCAACGTGAGACTTTGTCCTTACTCTAGTGAATTCCTTCATTTATACTTCTTACACTTGTGATTACTTTTGTAAGCATGATTGATTTTAAGTCAAAACTTTTACAAATTAGATTTCTGATTATAGGGTAAACCTGGATAAACATGTAAGTTTTCAAAACTTCCAAATTTCCACTGAATTTCAAAAATTTTGGCTACTAAATTATAGTCTGGGTGGATTTTATGAATTTTCGTGGTCATATTAAAAGGTAATGATTAATTGTTTTTAGCACGGGAGCTATGCAATTGAAGCTATGTTTTTGTGACTGAATTTCATTCATCACGACCATTTAATGCACTACAATCACTTTCCTTGCCATCTCATAGATTCATTGTAGCCAACATGTTTTGTACCACCTTACTTAACTATAGATGTAACTCATTCCATAAATATTTTCCCGTTTTTGGTATGGAATCTTATTAATCAACTAACTCTCAGATTCTCTGAATTATTTCCAAAACTAGCCAAAATCAACATCGTAGATGCTATAAAGTGATTGTAATGTTGAATTTCTGTTAGCTTCAAAGCATTACCAAACAAATGCTCCCATTTTTATTTTTACAAAGAAGCAATTGGTAGAAGCCTAATAAGCTTTCATTTTCATGTATCTAAAGGGTGGCACAACATTTATCTGGAAATAAACTTAAACAAGTATTCAAAATAACCATCCCCTTTGCTTTAGAGTAGCAGTCACAGGAGTAAAGTAATACCAAATTTTTTATAGTATAATAAAATGCTTGAACTTAGCTACTGATATTTTACAGCCATTTTAATAATTATTAAGGATGGTGATACACAAATGATCAACAAGGATAAGTGGCATAGTCAAGTATTGAATACAAAAATTTATAAAAGCAATTATCATCACCATCAACATCATTAGCCTTACCCTAACCGATTTGTATGAATCCTTCTCCATTCATTCGTTTTAAATCTCACATTGCTATTTTGCAAATCTCCATGCACAACATCTAAATAGATAACCTAAAGTCCTCCTCCTTTCCTTCTACCTTATCCTGAATAAGTGCTACTCCTATCATCCCTTCATAACAATTTCTCAATCCACTTTTCCTAATTGTAACATAATTCCCTTAACATGCTCATTTTTTTCACACTCAACTTTGATCACAAATGATTCTTTGTCCTTGCCCAACTCGCAACTTGAGAAACTCAACCATTATAATTGTCATATGTAAACTTTTCATTTAACTCTCCATGAAATTCTCATATCACATGGCACTACTTGGATACTTCGCCAATTTAACTCTCAAGTTTCAACTCTAAAAATAATAATATTCCAATTACTCTATACGCTAGATAAATTACTTAAATTTTTCACACCCAAATATAAGTTGATCTTTAGAAATATTGGCTAATTGTCAATTTTGCACTCTCTAAAATCACATATTATTTAATGTAAATCATAACATATTTGTCTTCCAAACATTTCTTCCATTACTCCAGTTTTAAATTTTATCAAAAAGGCCTTGCAACTTACAAATCCATAACATACAAATAGCATACACCAAGTACTTCAAATTGATTATACTTCGTAAAAATTTTTATAACTGATACAAACAAATAAGGACTAATCATCGGTTCTTGAAATATTAGAAGACAAATTTGATCACTCTACATCAATTAATGCAAATTAATGCTCCATTATTTATATCTTTAACAAATTCAACATGTCTATGACAACCTTTTTAAGGGCAAATCAATTTTTGTGTTAGTTGATCATAAGCTTTAAAGATAATAAGAAATCACATGACCAATTGTTTGCTCTCTAATCTTTTTATTATTTCTTGTAGCATAACAATTACCGTGATAGTAGGGCTTCCTCATCTAAAATCAAATAGTTCTCCAATAGTAACATGATTCTCCAGAACCTAAATTCCATTGCCCTTTCTTATAACTTCATTATATGATTTAATAAGTTTGACTCCCTTATAATTGTTCATGCTCTTAAATACTAGCATCAAAATACGACTCCAAGTACGTAACATCCTTTAACCCATTAAGGTTCTGTTGAAATAACTTGTTACTGAACTAATACAATATATTGTACAATTCTCCATATCTCAATTGATATCTGATATGAGAAATCAAAAAAAAAAAAAAAAAAAAACAACCCAAAACCCCCCACACTCTTTAAAAGGGACCTCTGATATGAGAAATCAAAAAAAAAAAAAAAAAAAACTATCCCAAGACTCTCCACATCCTTAATAGGGTCCTATAATGTAATCTTTATTACATTTTGAACTAATATTTCTTTTAAAATAAAAAAAAAAGTAAACCCGACTAATTTTGAAGATGATGCATAAGCTGAATGGCTCTCATCCTCAAATATAATTACATGAGCTTTACAGAAGACGTGCAAGTTAAATGAGTCACATACTCAAACATAATTATTAATCGTACTTATACAAGTGAAGCAAACAATTGGAGAAATTAAACGTAAGTGAAAGATTAAGAAGACATTACCAAGGGTATAAATAAATCAAACATGAATGAATTGAAGTTTTATTCAGCTTAATATGGTAGTTATTAACCCCAAAAAAACTGAGCTCAAGTTTGCAAAGCAAAATGTTTTCATTTGTATGTCCCGTTGCTATGAAATTGAATACGAACCAAACCTGAACTTGCATCCAAGTTAATGACTATCATATGCATGAAAAAAGGTCACAATCAATGATTGTGATTGATTTATACATGGTTTGTGATATGGATAGTATAACATCCTTTAAAGTGAATAAAGTTTAAAAATATGTGTTGTTCATTATGATTTTGGAAATTTTTTTTGTAATCTTTAAGAATAAAATAAATGAGAAAAAATTAAACACTTGTGTGTAAATGCACACACGCACTCAAGCATGAACGCCACACATACATTTATCTATATAAAGCCATACTGACATAACCAAAAGTTTCTTTTTTGTATAAAATGTTAGTACCGTTCACAATCCATCTCGCCCACAAAGTTCCTCATAGAAATAAAAAATTTTCTTCTGCACCATTTAGCGTTGAAAGAGACACCTTTTTTAGTCCCAGGATGGAAAATAAAATCAGCTTCAGAGCATAAAGAACATGCGTTTGAGTAATACATTTCTTCATAAGTAAACATAATATATTATTTTTCAACGCTAATTGTATTACTTGAGCGGTTAGTTTCGAGTTCTTCTGAAAATTATCATTCACAGGAAGCAAATAAAACTAAAAAGAACATTGCAATATTTGCACCCATCAAACAATGAATGGCAGAAAAAAAAGAAAAAAAAAACACAGGATTAGTTTTAACAACTAGCAACAAACAACTTAGACAACTTTATGACAAAATATTGTTCAGAAGATAATAAACTAAAATAAGGGGAATTTACTTATATACCACCCAATTCCTATGTATTTACATATCTAACATATAGGCTGTCTTTTACATTTATAACATCCAAATCTTTCATACCACATCAATAATAGAACTATTTAACTATTAAAAAGTGGAATACAACTTCTCATTCATAGGTGAGATAGCATATATGTAAATTTTGAACTTTAGCTGTTAGATATGTAAAAACATGAGCTTGAGTGGGTATGTACGTAAATCTTACAAAAGAAATTAAAAGAAAAATGGTATTGCAAGAGTAGCAACCGCAAATCACAATATCATGGAAAGAGTCATGATAATTTGGTAAAGCCGTAAAATTTAAAAGTTATATTTTTATTTTATTTTTATTTTTTTTCAGAGACGTAGTCAGATAATGAAATATGAATGATAAATGATAGAATCAAAACATAATAAGAAAACATTAATGCATGATGAAGATGTCTAGCAAACTTTATGGAGAAAAGAATATAATTAAAATTAAAAAAAAAACTGGCTTCAAATAATTTACGCCGGCTCCAATTAAACAGCACCTGCAAAGCGCCTTCATTTCATCTCTCCAGCCGCACTCTATAAGCCTTTCCCTTAAAAGGTCCATCAGCTTTTCCTTCTCCCCACTCTCGATCAACTTCAAAGAGCAAAGTATTCAGCCATCAGAAATCAAAAAAAGCAAACCTCCTGAAGGGATTGAAAGAGAGAGAGAGAGAGTGAGAGATACTTTGATGTTGATGATTTCCTGAAGCGTCGGCTCTTTCTGTGGCTCATCGTCGATTTCCGGCGTCGGTGGCCGATTGACGGAACCCCTCCTTAATTGGTACCCGATCGATCAAGCAAAAGGAAATAGAGGTAAGATGGTTCATATTTAAGAAAAAACAAGGAAGAAATTGAAGCAAATCGGCCATGTTTAATGCCATCATTAGAGCTAGGAGAAGAAAGAAATCGATTACATTGTCCTCCCGCTGCTCTCGCTCTCTACTTTCCCCTCCGCAGTGTCGCGATTGATTCGGTTTGCCTTTCGTAACTCTGGAGCAAATCAAGATCAGGTACCCTGAGAAATCTTTGCTTACGTAAGTAGGGAGAACCGTGTAATGTAACTTACAAATATATATAAGAGAGAAGCCCGGAATTAATGCGAATAAAATTCTTTTAATATACTTCTTGAAAATCAGCCGTGTTTGGCTCGTTTATATTTCGAGCTCAAAAATTTTATTTGTGTTCGACTCATTTCCTTAACCAGCCGAACACGAGCTATTCACGAACAAAGAGTCCTTTTAACAACACTAATCATGTAGCCATAAGACAATAAGAATTATTTATATTAAAATATCATTTGAATCTAATTTAATAATTTTTATTCTATTTTCTTAATTAATATTTTAATTAATTATAAATCTTTGTAGCCTTGTAGTCAATTATATTTTTTTAAAATACTGCTTTATATATATACTTGATGAGTAGTATTTCAAGCCAAAACGAGCCGAACACGAACGAACACATCTTCGTTCGTGTTCGGCTCGTTAACTTATCGAACGAAATTAACGAGCGGAACACGAGCTGTTCGCGAACTACGAGTCGTTTTGACAGCCCTATAACCTATTACAGTGCAAATATTTCTCGTATTTTCGTTGCTTGTAAGGGCTTTTATGGTAGCAGTATAATGCGAATAAAATTTTTTTAATATCCTTCTTGTAACCTATTGCAGAGCAAATATTTCTTCTGTTTTCGTTGCTCGTAAGGGCTTTTATGGTAACAGTATAATACGAATAAAATTCTTTTAATATCCTCCTTGTAACCTATTGCAGTGCAAATATTTCTCGTGTTTTCGTTGCTCTTAAGGGCTGTTATGATAGCAGGATTTTCTTTTCTTTTTTTTTTGGTGGGGGATTTATAAACGTATTAATTTTAGGAGGATTCTTAGCTAGATGCGAATAAAATTCTTTTAATATACTTCTTGTAAATCAGCCGCGTTTGACTCGTTTATATTTCGAGCTCAAAAATTTTATTTGTATTCGACTCATTTCCTTAACCAGCCGAACACGAACTATTCATGAACAAAGAGTCCTTTTAACAACACTAATCATGTAGCCATAAGACAATAAGAGTTTGAGCTTATTATTTATATTAAAACATGATTTGAATCTAATTTAATAATTTTTATTCTATTTTCTTAATCAATATTTTAATTAATTATAAATCGTTGTAGCCTTGTAGTCAATTATATTTTTTTAAAATACTGCTTTATATATATACTTGATGAGTAGTATTTCAAGCCAAAACGAGCCGAACACGAACGAACACATCTTCGTTCGTGTTCGGCTCGTTAACTTATCGAACGAAATTAACGAGCCGAACACGAGCTGTTCGCGAACTACGAGTCGTTTTGACAGCCCTATAACCTATTACAGTGCAAATATTTCTCGTATTTTCGTTGCTTGTAAGGGCTTTTATGGTAGCAGTATAATGCGAATAAAATTTTTTTAATATCCTTCTTGTAACCTATTGCAGAGCAAATATTTCTTCTGTTTTCGTTGCTCGTAAGGGCTTTTATGGTAACAGTATAATACGAATAAAATTCTTTTAATATCCTCCTTGTAACCTATTGCAGTGCAAATATTTCTCGTGTTTTCGTTGCTCTTAAGGGCTGTTATGATAGCAGGATTTTCTTTTCTTTTTTTTTTGGTGGGGGATTTATAAACGTATTAATTTTAGGAGGATTCTTAGCTATTTAAATATGCAATACCTGAAATTTTATATTTAAATTTATAAAATTTTAATGTTAGTGGTTTGAGTGCTAGGTATGTAAATATGAAGGTTCATGTATTAGATATGTAAATATATAAGATTATGTGGTATTTTTGTAAATGCTTCTTAGTTTTATTAACAAAACTAGAGGAGGAAACTCGGCCTTGGCCAATTTAACTACTTTAGAAGTGTGATGAATAATGAACTTTGGGCATTAATATATAAATCCTAATAATTTGGGCATTAATATGTAAATCGTATGTAAATCTCTTTTTTTTTTTAAATTAA